GTGTTTTTCGGGAAAGACCAACAATAAATACGTACACATATTCACACGCACACGCATAATAAAGTCATAGAGTATTATGTTTTAAAAAATTATTCAAAATAATTCAAAATTTGAATTCAAATTTTATAAACAAAATATTCAAAATAATTTAAAGTTTTTTTTCTAATTATAGAATAATACGTCACGGCTGAGTTATGCTACATTGCGGCTGAGTTATGCTACATTACGGATGAGTTTTGATATACATTCTCGAGATTACAAAAAGTGGTTTTTGGGAAAGATCAACAATAATTACGTACACATATTCACACGCATATGCATAATAAAGTCATAGAGTATTATGTTTAAGAAAATATATTCAAAATAATTCAAAATTTGAATTCAAATTTTCTAAACAAAATATTTCAAAGTTTTGTGTCTGAATATAGAATAATACGTTACAACTGAGTTATTTACTTTTCAAGGTTGACTAATGACTAAAACTTTAATTTAAAGGGACACTTGAATGTTAACATTAGCAATGGTTATAATAATGTAGAGATTGAATATATTATAATACAATTAACAAAAATCAATAGCAGCTCTTTTCCATTCTATATTTGATCAACTATGTAGGAATAGAACATAAGTATAGGGTTTGAGGTTTATCGTTTTGTTGGATAAGTTTTAAAAGGTACAAACCTGAGCGAATTTCATGATTTTTTAATGGAAAGTTAATAAAAATGTTAACTACATATTATTAAAGTGTTTTTATTACATGAGTGCATCAAATATTCACATCTATCATATTTGAGGTTTGGCCGAGTTATGCCAACGACATGGTTGACTTATTGTTGAATAATTCGAGGTTTGGCCGAGTTATGCCAACGACATAGCTGACTTAACGTAAATAAATTTGTGGTTTGGCTGAGTTATGTCAGCGTCATGGTTGACTTACAGAGACCACTTCGAGGTTTGGCTGAATTATTGTAACGATAACATGTAGCTCATTGTTACATGATGGCTCAACTCATTCAATCTGTAGTCATCGAGAACCAACTTCACAAGCTTTTCGTGTGTTCTTTCAACATCTATACGTTAGATATGGCTGATTTATGATTTTGATATTCAAATTCGGAGTATGGCTGAGTTATAGTTACGTTCTGTCTGAGGTATAACATAACGTTACGACTGAGTTATATAATGAGGTTTGGTTGACTTATTGTAAATTAAATTCGTGGTTTGGCCGAGTTAATTCCAGACGACGTCGTTTACTTCTTTCTTCTCCCTTATAGTCATAATCGAGCTATCAGATTGGGGATTTAGGGTTCTTATCGATTTCTGGGATTCCCATCCGATTTCTTGGTTTATCTTCGATTAAAGAATTCTACTTCTCAATTTTAATATGAGCGACTACTCTTCGAGTACATATCGTTCAGCACATGGTGCTTACCCTCCAGATCTTCCGACGAATTGCGGATGTTGGTGTGGTAATGATATCATCACATACATATCGAAGACAAAGGAAAACCCTTATCGTATCTTCTATCGATGCTCGATTGCTTTGAAGGTACTAAATTTCATTTAAATTTTTATTGTTAACATATGGGTATCGATGAAAAAGGTTTGTT